AGTAATATGACAATCACTTTCAATATGGTTAGCAGCATCCTTCATTAAAAAAGTTTCACCACATTCACACTCTACTAATTGTTGTAGTCTTTGCTTTCGGTATTCCTGAATCTGTTTTGGTATATCGCTACCGAAAAACCTTACTGGTTCTTCATATATTCTTTCTTGAAACATTTTTAACATTCTATAATATATAATAGATTTATTTTATTTTAAAAGCTTTCTCAAATCTAACATAAAACATATTATTAACATCTTTGGAATTCATATTAACATAAAAGAAGGAGTATGGCTTATCATCTACCGCTTTATGATACATATTTAGCAGTTGCTCTTTATCAACAATGGCAGAGTTTTCCTCAATGAATGACATTAACTCTGATACATTCTTTAACTTGAAGATATACAACGAACTTGAATTCAACCTAATGATTGGTGCTAGGACACGATATTTTTGAACGCTTAAACAAAAACTAATGGCGTCGTGCCTGCCTCTCGTTGCCAGTCCATGTAATAACTTGCTGTATCTAACAAATTTAGGATCGTCTGCAAAATCATCAACTATGATTAAAATTGAATGTAGTTTCTTCATCTTCTGTTCTTTCATATAATGAATTATCTTTCTTTGTGTGTTAATTATTTCTTCCAGTTCTTCAGGATGGTAGGTGTCATAATAAACCTTTTCTTTTTCATCATCAACCTTCATATTATCTTTTTGATATTTCTTGACTTCAACGAAGGTAGGGTCATTATGAATAGACGGACTAAAAATGAATATACGAGCGAAGCAGTCCCTATAAACATTTAGGATAAGGTTTTGGATTAAAACTGTTTTGCCACCCGTTGATGAAGCAACAACAATTGAGCGAAAAGGTAGTTTTGGTACATGTTCATATTTGGATTGTTTGAATTCAAAATCAGTTATGTTTATTGGTTTTATAATGGGAACTTCAGGCATAAAATAATAATATTAAAAATATTTAGAAAATAAATTAATATTATTTATTGTATGAAAGCATTGCTATGATATGAATGGTGTCTATCGTAGTAGAACAGGCTCTTTCATCAACTTCAATCAATAAGCATTGAAGATAATTATAATTAGTTTGATGCATTGTAAAGAAAACCCCAGTGCTGAGCCCTCCGAATATTCTATCATGCATGAAAATAATAAGATTAAATAACTATTTTATCTTATTATTTATATGACTATTATCCATTGCAGTTGTGGTAAAACTTATGATGACAAATATTTATTTAAACATCTAAATTCAAAACATCATCATAAATTTGTGGAATATAGATGGAATAAAGACGATACAATGAAAAAACTTTACAAGAAAAGAAAGACAGAAATGAAAAAATAATTTATCTTATTATTTAATATGAAAAGGAGTTATACAGATTATATTAATATAATAGGTGAAATGGAGAATATAGAACAAGTACTAATAACCGATAATAAAATTAAGAAATGTTGTTATTATTCATTAGAATTAATTAAGCTAGGAATACAATATATCAAAAATAAAAATGTAAATATTAATATAAATGCCAAAAAAGAAAAACAAAAATAATAAGACAGGTTTAAGTGTTTCATCAACTGATGAAGAAATTGTTAAAGAAACATCAGTTATTGAGGTTGTTTGTCCTACATGCAGCAAAAGAATGTTAGAACTTAAGAATGAATTACAAATACAAAAGAAAGGAAATTGTAAATGTTCGTGTATTCCAACAAGTTTCAAAATTAGTAAAAATGATAAGAAAATGAATATTGATAAAACTAAAGACAGTATCAACTTAGAAACAGATGTTCATAATATAACTTTTAAATGGGGAAGGCATGCATCACCATCCGATAATGTTGATAACGAAACTCAGGAAACTATACGTGAAATGATGAAAAATTAGTATTTAAAGAGTAGAATTAACATAATTTAAACATTTAGTTTTAAAAGTATAGTTGAATAATATAGTATATATGGAAGGTGTGGATAAACTAATTTTGAAAATTGATGAAATAATGGAACAAAATAAACGCATTTATCAACTGTTAGAAAGTATGAAGAAACCAGCTTACAATAATACAAATAATTACCAACCAAAAGAAGTTGATAGAGAGAGCACTGAATACAAGAATAAACGAAATGTATATATTAAAAAACTTAATGAAAACGTTATTAAAGAACCTAAACAATCAAGTTTGGATTTCTACCAAGTCAAGTATATTGAAGATACCAAGAAATATGTTTAATCATTAACTAACAAAATTTCGTGTCTTAGAAGTGGTTTGTTTATTCCTGCTACTCTGTAAGTTTTATTACCCATAATATCATATTCAATTTTATCAACATTGAATATTGTATTAGACCATTTAGAGTTATACTCTTTTCTGTCGGTGTAATTGCCCCTTTTCTTTTGAAACACTTTTACCTTATCGTTCTCCTGTATTTTGGGATATTTTCTTTTGTTCTTTTCTCGTAGTTTCAGATTGACTTTTACATTTATTTCATTGTCGTCCTTGTGTGCTTCGGTTGGTGTCATCCTTGTTGACGAGTGTAATGTGCTGTTATACTGTTTCAATGCTGGTGTTAAGGCATCGGTCCATTTCATATTGTTAAACCTAACTCTATCGTGGATTTTGTTTTTCATGGTCCTAATAAAACGTTCGGCTACATTTGCGTGTGTCTTCGTTATTATGTGTTTGACGCCCTCGCTGTTGAAGAAATCCTGCACTTGGTTTTTGGTTGCAAACGCTCCATCATCATCAGAATACACAGACATCGGGTAACCCATCTTTTTAAAACTTGCTCTAAGCGCCTTCAAAACGTGCTCTCCGTCTCTTTCCTCCATCGGAATTACATCTGCTAATTTACTGAAGATGTCAATCACGACTAAAGCATACTGTGGAACATTCTTGTCTTTAGCTAAAGGTGACATATGCATTATGTCTATTTGATATTCATACCTAGCAAACGGGGCGGTATAGGAATTAGTGCCTCTATAATTTTTGATTTGTTTATTTGGTTGTTTCTTTAAGAAAGACTTTACATCGTCTAATGTTATTGTTGGGTTTTTTTTTTGTTTGCCTTGTTGTGTGTTGCTTGTGTGCTTCCGAAACCATCGTCTAAATCATAATAGATGTTGCTGATTATTTGGTCTTTCGTTAATCTTGCCATTATATTATTTGTTAGAAAATATGTTTATCAACATAAACCTCCACCCCTTAACATAAAATAACTTAAAGAAATATTAACTTATAATATTAAGAAGTGAAATGCCAATGATAGGAGTGACAGAAAAAAGAGCTGGAACAGGATAGAAAGATAATATTGAGTTTCATTAAGGATAATCCCTATCCATCATATAAACAAGTCATTGAAATAATTGAAAACGATAAAACAATGGAAGATATATATCTAGATATGTTCGTCGAGTATGGAGAACAAAATCATCAATGGATAAAAGAGACTTACGAAAACATAATGAAAGAAGAACTCGTTAAACATAATGGTAATAGTATTAACGAAAGAGGAGGAATGACAACAATGCATTGTAATTATTATACTTTGATATCAGTGTTGCGTTACTTAATACAACAAAGAGCCCCAATGAAAGATTATGACGTTAACTTAATCTGGTATAATATCAGAAACATCTTAAGCAGTTCTTGGAACAACATAGGAGACTGGAAACACTGAAAATAGGTTTATTCATATTATTCTATAACTATAATATGATTACAACAAAGTTTTATAATCTAACACTACATTTAAATGAAACCTGAAACCCCCAGCTAAAAACTACTTAAAGAAAAAATAATATAATATAATAAGAGACAAATGAACTATGATGAAATCAACAGTTATATTGATAAGAAATGCTATGATTGTTGCCACTTCAAAAAAGAAAATATGGAATTATACAAAATGAATTTACCAAACGGTATAGTAAATAATATTATTGATTATGCTTTGAGTGAAGAAGATGTATGTAGAACTTGTAGAAGATGGAGACGATATCAAAATATAATAGATAATTTTTTGGAGATTAAAAAAATAGATGAACGAAATGTTGAAGATGACATTTTGATATTTTTAACTGTGTATGAAATACCACCTTATAGTTATGTTAGAGCATTTCTGAAAATCAGTAAGAAAAAATATGAAATGATTGACAGAATATTAAAGATGTTGACTTATTATAGAAGGGAAGGGTTTGATGAAAAAGAAGACATTAAATCATATATTGAAAGTGAAAAGTTTAATGTTAAAAATACCGTGAGAGATGTTAATGTTATTTTTAAGATGATGTACGAAAGAAGTAAGATGTTTCAATTAAATTATTATCCTGAACTGAAATTATAATCATACTATAATCATAACATTTATAAACTTATATGTTATAATTATAGCAAACTTTTAACCTATAAACATTTCATCAAATGACAAACCACAACAACCGCCCAAAAGCCAACCCATGAAACCGCAGAAAGTCCTATCCTCTTTCAATCAATAAAACTAAAAGTTGAAATCTGGAACGAGACAGGGGACCAAATCATCAATTCGTTACCACATCCATATCGTTATTTCTTGGCCCCAGAATCAGCCTTTTAAAAACGGATAAGGTGGTACACGTGTTGAATTGTGAAAAAGAAAACAGAACAGGCAACCATCAACCCCCTACCCCCTAGGACAAGCCTTTTCTACATTTCCCCCCCCCCCCCCCCGAAAAAATGCAATGGTTAGCAGTAGGGTTGCCCTTTGAACCACCCATGATACCATAACAAGGGTACCCTCAAAGAAAAAAGACGGGCCTGCTTGCTTCTTAAATCCAGACACCCCCCCCTCCAAAAAAAAACACTCTGCTCGAATTACTTTTACGTGCGGACCAGTGCTTTGAACTCCTTTTGGGTCTTAGGCTTTGCTCGTCCCAGGGCTCGAAGCCTTGGCCGATTTGGGATGCCCACTTCCGTTTCCCACGTCTTTCGGACCAGCAGCCCGGCGTGGCGCAGAAGTGCATAGCCTTGGCCCCGGACGTGGGATGTGTCAAGCGAGGGGCCCAAAAGTGCGCGGCTTCCTTCCGGCTTCACTGACCCAAAAAAGGAAGCCGGGAACTCCAAAAAAACAAACAGAGACCTAGCTGGGTGCATTCTCAACGTGTTTGGGACACGAACAGGGATACATAGATCCAAAAGCCATCTGCTTACAAGCTGTTGGATCCTCCACATCAGCTGTTTGGGTGATTTTGTCACTCGCCAGGTGGCTTACCAACCAACAAAAAGGAGACATTTTTGAGAAACTCCCATCTGGAGATGTGTTTTGGAGAGGACCAGTTTTGCTTGGGAAACCAAAGGAAAACCACCCATTGGGGGGGGGGGGCTATTTTGACACGTACCCAAACAGCAGAACTCCCTTTTGGATCCTGCCGTTTCTCCTCGCGGAAATTTCATGTCGACATGTGGCCACATGGGTACGAATCTTCCTGGCGCATCATTTGCGGGCTTCGTGTCCACCACTTCTGAGGTTCCAACTCTTGAAATTCATAGCCACAGAAGCAGCACCCCAAACCCGTTGACGTTTGGTCAAGGCTGGTATCAGCCTTGCTACAAAAATGGCCTTCGAGAGGAACCGAGCCGAAAACGAGGGGTGTGGGGCACTCACACCGGACTCCAAATATACGATTCAACATCCGACTAAACACCAATGCGAAATCGACCCGTGTGTTTGTTGTGTTCTGTTGTTATTTTTAGTTGTTGCTTGATTTGATTTAGTTTTATGTTGTTGTTATTTTGTGCTTACTGGTTTCATGTTACTTACTTACGTATTTTGTGTTTCTTGTTGTTTTTTCTTCTTATTTTTCTGGGGGGTGGGGGTGGAATGGGTGGTTGTCCTTTTGGTTTCCCTTTAAACCAACCAACAAAACTGGGTAGGCAAAAAAGAAGACACGCCTTGGGTTTCGACCCATTATTATTATATATATATATATATACATAGACATATACATATACATATACATATGTATATATACATAATATACACATATAGTTCCTTTCAAAGGGACCCCCTGTCAGGTTCCACGTTCGTTGGTGGGAGCGTATCTTGTCGAGGAAATGCAAAAGAAAAAGAAAACTGCGCGAACCACTCCTAAATAAAGCACATCACGGTTATCTTGAGGCCAACTCGATCAATATTCCTGTCCCCCAAATGACCCTGGGTAACTTTTCCCATCTGGGTAACAATATTTTTGGTTTCCCCCCATGGTCATCCCATGGTTTACGACCGTTTGCTCAACCCCCCCCCCAAAAAAAAGATAGAAAATAGAAGAACTGGGTATCCTCAAAAAAAAGACTGACCCATTTCGGTTTGGCTTCCGAGGAGCCCAGAGCTCCGCCCCCGGCTCCTGGCACGCCCGCGCCACCGCCGCCGGCAGCTCCCGGCGCCGGCGGTGCGCCCAGGCGGCCGAGTCCCGGGCCTCCCCAGGTCCAACGCCCCCGTCTGGGTCCAACCCCTTCCGGGTGGGGAAAAACCACGGGAAAAACCACACAAAAAACGAGGAAATCCAGCAGAAGATCCAAGAAAACTGAAAACCCGCCGAGAAAAACCGTGAGTCGGCAGAAACTGCCAGCAATGGGGGAGATTCACTAGCTGCTTGAGCGGCCCTGTAGGTGAAGGCTGAAGCCGGCTACAAGTTTGTGGACCAAACAAACAACAGGCAACCACGGGAAAAGGGAAGCAAAGGAAGTCAAGGGAAAATCACTTCAAGGAAAAGCAGTAAAATCTGTGAAAGGCCAAAGGAGAATCACGGGACAACGCGAGGCAGCAAAGGAAAGGGAAATGAAAGCTATTCACTTTCGGGGTCGTGCTGCTTGGGCAGAAGATTGGCTGAAACAACCAGAGCCTCGCCTCACCCAGAAAAGAAAGAAGTCAAAAGAGGTTGCTTGATCTTAACATGGTTGGGGGAATGTCCCCTCCAATTACCCAAGTCTTAGCTTGGGTAGCTTAACTATGCTAGGAAAGGGGCCTGAGCTCATGGCAAGAAGTTTCTTCTGAATTCACCGCAAGCATCGCCCCAAGGAAATCCATGGCCATCTTCAGGACAAATTCTCATGTTGGGAAAAAACATCGGTTGGATCATTGTTGCACGAACTCTTTGATGAAACAACCCTCTTTGCGGCTTCCCTTCAAGCGGCCCTTTGGGGAAGCTCGGTTTGAACAACCACTGCCTCCAAGTCGAACAAAAATCAACAAAAGCGCGTCCTTGCAACAAGCGGTTGGTCCAACCCTGGGAAGCCGGTGTTCTCGGAGCTATTGCCATCGGAGCCCGACAAAACAGAAGAATCTGAGTGTCGGGAGGTTGTCACGTCAAAACGTGTGGTGTAAGATGATGCCCGGCAGGAATCGTGGGCAGCTCCCCTCTTTTTAAGCCTGCTGAACATATGTCAGCCCTTGCCATTCACTGACGGCCGCTCTGGGCAAAGGCGAAGAAGGAAGCGGGGTCCCAAAACCAAAATCCTACGCCATGCAGTCCCACCAGTCCCTTGACTCAAAGAAGCAAAGCCTGGGGCTCTGGCTGCAGAGAACTGGCACACCACCTTTGCGACCAGTTGAGCGGTGGCCTTGTGCTGGATGAATCGCCTGGCGACGGACACAAAACAATTGTGTGCAGGGCAAGGGCCCACCTCCACAATCCGCGCAGCCAAGCAAGCAAAATAGGGACGGGGTTTTGCAGGGGTCCATGACGGAGAAGCTGGGCCCCTTAAAAGCGATTGCATTTTGAAGGGGCTCTCATTGCTCTTGGGGGTGATTTCCCTTTAAGCCACCATTCTTAGAGGGTTTTTTGAGGACGTCCCTCAACTAAAGAAAAAAAAACACGTCTCCTCAGCATCTGCGGGGGCGCTGTGACGATGAAGCGCCGAAAGAAGGAGCCCATGCCGTGCCGGCCGACCAGGCGCCCGACCACCTGGAAAGCTTCCAACGGACAGCCCAGAGTCTCACTTACCCCTTAGGCACCTGGAAATACTGTGGATGGACGAAATCCATTTCGCACCACCTAAGAAAGCCTGGAATGATTCGATTCCCCTGCAAATACCAACCAACGGTGGTTTCAACCATGGTTTCAAAGTGGTGCAGGATTTCGTCCATCCACAATATCAGGTAATCCCCTCTTGGGGCCTTTACGAATTGATGGCCCCCCCCCTCAACGGCCCCAAGCCCTCCTGGTCCACGTCGGGCGCGCGGCACAGCTCCGCCAGCTGCGCGTCGAAGTAGAGCAGAGGCACCACGCCTCTCTCGGCGCCCGGCAGGCGCAGGAAGACCAGCAGCGCCTTTGGGGAGGGGGGGGGAGAGGGGAGAGGGGATGGATCTCTGGGACGCTTCTCATGGCACCCTGTTTCCGAGCGTCTCAAAAAAAACCCTCGCAGACCAATGGAACAGAAACCGTTGCAGCCAGTCTTTGGCCATATCAGGTAGACAATCTACTGAACAGGCCACCTGGGTGTTTTTTGGCGGTGCTCAAATGGGGTGGGGAACCCCAAAATAAGATCTCATGTTTCTGCAAATGGGGTAACTTCAAGAAGGATCATATGTAGCCAAGGTTTGGAACCAAATATCCAGCCAGGAGGTGCCATTGGCCGGACTTCCGCACCGGTGATTCGGTGGGTAGCTTCCCCACTCGCCTCACTGATACGGCGGTGTCGCACCAAAAGCGTCAGGAACCGGCCCGTCACGATGGGCCGTGCCGCCAGAGTCACCAGGCGCCATCTCAGCACCCGGTTCAAGACCCAACCTGGCAGAATGGCCCTGGTGCAGAAGCAAAATCTGCTGTTGGTGAATGCGGAAATATGTTGTTTAACAAAAGTTGAAGGCTAAAAATCCAAGCAAATGGCAGCCCAGCAACTGCTCACCCGCACCCGCAAACACACCACCGCCAACTCGCAGAGGCAGAGCTGCAGGAAGTGCCTGGCTCTTGCACGCGCGCCTGATGGCCACAGGTCGCCGTCCCACATGCCTTTGAATCCCACGGGCAGTGCTTGTGACTCCTCCTTTGAGGCGACCCGCTTGGATTCTGCAGGAGTTTGGGAGCCCAGCAACCGGCCCACATCAACGTCCGTCATGTCGGACAAGCTTTTGGCGGCCTGAGCCACTTTTTCGGGGCCCAAAGTGTCGAAGTCGTCGTGGTCGAAAAACAGCGCGCTCATGCGCGACAAGATGCGGCCGCGGTTCACCGCCCGCTGCAAGGCACTCTGCGTCTGGCTCGCCGCTCGCACGAATTCTTCGAAGTTGATCTCGCCGTGGCCATCGACGTCGAACTCGGCCACCGTCTGCCTCACGCTGCCTCGGAAAAACATCAATCTCGCAAGCCTAAACTGGCAACCATGCATGCTCAGGGTTGACTGTATCTGTGGTCAATGCCAATCAGCCTCTACATGTTGCAAATGTCTAACTGCCCCAAGATTGCCTTTCTAAAAGGACTCCAATCCACCAAGCCCCCGTTCCCAAACCTCCACCCCCCCTTTCTCGAAAGCCTCCGACGCAAAAAAAATAACGACCATGAAACCCGAACATACCTGCGACCCGTTTGACCCTCCTCTTTCGGGCTT